AAAAAGTGCGTCAATTCATGTTTGCATCCTCACAATTACTAATCAACTTGCAGGCGAAAGCTTGTCTGCAGAATTCCGTTGCCAATTTACTATGACAACGGGGCAGCCTCATCTGCCACGCCAAGTCCCCTTCCTGCTCCTACTCCAAGCCCCCTTCCCGCTCCCCATCTCTCAGAAGTACCTGAGACACCTACCCCCCCATATCGCCAAACACCAGCACCAGTTACTGTTTCGCAGTCATACCTACGAAAACTTGTCTTGGAGCGTTGGGAGGCAGAATTTAAGTGTTGCGAGGAGGCACGCAAGGCACAATTGTTGGAGGTGCACCTTGCGGCACTCGGAATCACTAAATTAGTTTAGCGTAAAATAGCCCAAAAAAGCGAAACTGAATCAAAACTTGCCTGTTGCCAATCCAAACAAAAGTCTGAGAGTCCGAGCAAGCCCGAAAATGTGAAACTGTGATATCTCTTCACCACCCTTACCATGTCTCACCACTGTGGCTTCTGCGGCAAGGACATCCCGACCGTTGGAGGTGTCAAAAGACACATTCTTGGGCGCCCTCAATGCAGAAAGGAGTGGGAAGCCTTAATCGCAGAAACAGATGCTGTAGCTGATGTGATTGACGACTCGAATACACACGATAACGAAAGGGAATTCGCACCTGATCATATGCTCGGTGAAATCACAGACTCATTTTCCCCCCTTCGTCGCACACACTCGCCTCCTGATCTGGACGATGCCGCTTCGAAAATTCGCCGTGTAACTGTTGAGGAGGTCGAAGACGAAGATGGCACATATAACAGGCGCTTTTTTGAAAGCTACCCTAATGCTGGCCGGCCAATAGACGAGGGAAAGACTGTGTTTGAAAGCTATTGTCAGCACAAGGAGGATGAGGGCGAGGATGTCTGGGCACCCTTTGCTGATGAGGAAGAGTGGGGACTTGCCGAATGGATGATTAAAAATCTTGGTCAGACACGAACAGATGAATATCTGAAATTACCCATAGTGAGTATTTGGTTGAATATTATGAAGAAAACTATAAAATGAGACATGACAGACCAAAAACCGAACGAAGCCATCATTCCACAACAATCGGACATTCCTCAAGAGGGTGGATGAGCTCCCGCACGGCGCTTCGTGGAGTTGCAAGAAAGTGATGGTGCAAGGAAATCGGGAAGACGAGGATGGGCAGTCATTGAGTGAAGAGGTTGAAATCTGGATGCGAGATCCTGTTGAGTGTGTCAAAGATCTTATTGGGAATCCGTCATTCAAAAACCATATGGCATACGCACCATCACGAGCATACAAGGACAAAGGAGGTAGTGAACAGCTCATAGATGACATGTGGACAGCTGATTGGTGGTGGGACAAGCAGGTGAGTAGAACATTGATTTTGAAATGAGAGTAGCGCCGTGATCTAAGTTGCCGCCGGATCAGAAAGAACTGCCCGAAGGAGCAACCTTGGCGCCTATTATTCTGGCCTCTGACAAGACATTGTTATCACAATTTCGAGGCGACAAATCTGCTTGGCCCGTTTACCTATCAATCGGCAACATCGCAAAAGAAAAGCGACGACAAACATCTGCCCGGGCAACAATCCTCATTGGGTACCTACCAGCCACAAAACTCGACTGCTTCACCTCTGACGCACGTTCCCTGGCTGGATACCGACTTTTTCATCACTGTTTGTCTCTGCTGCTGGAACCTCTCATTGCAGCTGGTCGGGATGGCGTGGAAATGGTGTGTGCTGACTCCTTCATTCGGCGAGTGTACCCCATACTGGCTGCATATGTTGCAGATTTCCCTGAACAGTGCCTTGTTGCATGCTGTAAGGAGAATCGTTGCCCTAAGTGTTTGGTTGCGGCTGATGAGCGGGGCAACCCACTAAACTCGCTGATGCGGGACCCAGAGTCAACGAAAGAGACGCTAGAGAGACGGAGGAATGGTCAGCACCCTGTAGAATTTGACGAGGATGGGCTGCGCGCAGTGTATAGGCCGTTCTGGGCCAATTTACCCCACACCAACATCTTCATGGCATTCACACCGGACCTCCTCCACCAGCTGCACAAAGGAGTCTTCAAAGACCACCTTGTGAAGTGGTGTCTCGACATTGCGGGCGAGGACGAAATTGATGCTCGCTTCAAGGCCATGCCCGACTACCCAGGTCTTCGTCATTTTAAGAAAGGTATATCTAGTGTCAAACAGTGGACAGGAACGGAACACAAGGAGATGCAACGTATCTTTGTTGCATTAATTGCTGGCGCAGTCCCAAGGTATGTTTTAATTTGTGCTATTTTTCAAGTATTTGATCCACTTCGGTTTTCAGTCGAGTCGTTGTTGTTGCACGGGCCATACTGGACTTTTGCTATTATGCACAACTGCATACACATACGAGCGAATCCCTGGACGGTCTCGAAAACGCACTCACAGTATTTCACGCGCACAAGGATGTGTTGAAGGAACTTGATGTTCGCGATCATTTCAACATTCCGAAGCTGCATCAATTGTCTCACTACATCCAGTCAATCAAATTGTTCGGGGCTGCTGATGGATTCAACACCGAGCTTCCTGAGCGCCTGCACATCGACTTCGCTAAAGAAGCTTACCGTGCGAGTAACAAGCGTGACTACGAGGAGCAAATGGTGTTATGGCTTCAACGCCAGGAAGCAATCTTCTGGCGGGTCTCTTACCTCGAGTGGGTCGCTGAACATGGCGCTCAGACTGAACATCAATATGGCTATGACTCCGACTCTGATGCCGAGGAAGACTTTGACTTCGTACCAGTGGTTTCACAAGACATCGTTCACGTTCTTGCGAAGACACCTCCACACCCACGACAATCTATCCAGCATCTTGAAACCATGCACGGCGCCATCGATTTTCTGCCTGCTTTCAAGTCGTTTTTACGGAAGTATGTGCCACACAATCACATCGTGCCCGGTTATCAAGACCGTTTTGATGTTTTTCGGCAAGCTGTCATAATCATTCCCCCCAACCCCCGTGTGTCGGAGTTACCGAAGCGTCTGCGGGTGAGGGCAACACCTGAAGTGCTTCCATCACCTTCTGGATGGAAGCCAGGTTCTCCCGCGCGATTTGACATGGCATTGTTGACTGATGGTGTCCGAGCATCAAAGTTGTACACTTTGGAAGGTATGTTATTGCTTTTTAACTTACAATGTACGGTGATGGACTCCCAGTCATAGCTGTTCAGGTTGCGCAGGTGCGTGTAATTTTCACGCTGCCTCGTCAGTTCGGCTCATACTCGCGACCTCTTGCCTATGTTGAATGGTTCACGCCATTCAGGGAGCCAGACCAGTTCTCAGGTTTGCGTCAAGTCTCGCGGTCGACTCGTCACTTACGTCGGAATGGAGCAGTCATACACGTCGACGAGCTTGTTCGGCCATGTCACCTTGTTCCGAAAATGGGCCAAAAGGTAGACCCCAGCTGGACGAGTGCAAACGTCTATGAGATGGCAAGCAATTTCTATTTCAACGAATTTATTGACCTTGATACATTTTGCGTCTCAAGTGCCATTACATAGAGTTGCTGCTACTACAGACAGGTATGTAGGATACTGGTACTATAGGTTTTTGGACGTGGTAATGTTATATATGTTGGTCTCTGTATGTGTCGTGTCAGCTACATCGGGTACATCGACCGACAGATTTAGGCGGGTGCCTACCTGTCAGTATGGTAGCTATGGAGTGCATTATATTGGTGACCTGGGCTACCGCCGTTCGGGTTTTTCCTGATGTAATGTGCGAAATAATGAACTACGCACCTAGTGGGGCTAGCAAGACAGGACGGGACACGGATAGGACAAGTGCGCGGGAAACGTCGGGTCCGCCAGTCAAAGCGTCAGGTCCGATGTCAAAGTGTTGGATTGAACGGGAAGTGATTATTGTGCAACGGACATTAGACATGAATCGTGAATCAGCTGAATACGAGTGTAGCGCAAGCTCGAGTGCTACAACGCCAGACCCAGAAAAGTCAGCCGTCGAATATAAGGGAAATCGACACGAAATAAATAAACCAAGTTTTGACCAAGTTGATTTTGAGTTGATTATCCTCAGAATGGGTTGTTTGGATTATGTAATAAATAAAAGCTTTTGCCAAACAAACCCTTCGGAAGTCGGAAACCATCTTATACTTGGCGTTTTGGGCATGCACCTCTACTTCCAGAAAGTTCTGGCAGATCACATCCAGATCATCAAAGACGCTGATAACTACTAGTATCTACTTCACCAACTCAACTTCACCGGTGCACCGACCACTTCCCACACACAGCATACTAAGTACTATCAGATTCGCCCCTCAAGAAGAAGAGGGATCATGAGGAGTCTCAGGGTGCCTGTTTAGTTCTGGGTGAGTCGGTGTAGTTCCGCAGTGTCGTTGTAGCTGGCTCATACAAGATATCGGAGCTTCTATTGCATATACACATATATCGTGTCCATTCCAGTTGGTCCCTATCCTACAAGAAGCGCAAGTTAAAAATAATGTGCATACACGAACAGATTAACTGTGAACTGTCATGGTGATAATGCTTACGGCATAACGATAAGACTACTACATCCTGTGATTGTGTTTCATCAGAGTCGTACGTTTCACATCCTTTTGATATGATAACTCGGTGACTTGGACAGAGAGAGAGGTGCGCATGAGGCGGAGAGATCACCGATACTCTCGATAATCATTGACTCGACGGACGATACGCCTTTTCGATGGTAACATTACATCTGGGCCCGTATTGGTTGGACCGATGGACATCACTGATGAAACTACTACGTCCAACTCACATACTTGTATTTGATCGGGGGCCCCTGGATTCATTCCACCTTTCTAGTTGACATCATGCGACAATTCTTTTAGTCAATGCAGGGACAAATCTGCTGTAACGCTCGTTAAGACATAAAGGTGCTGGATGGTGGAATTTCTAGTACGACCGACCCCCTTCATAAGTCTACCAAGTTCACTGCTCGTTTGCATCACCCTAGAACAATATGACCCTAGTCCCAAATGATCCCAATTTGTGGCATGTCATCAATATTAATGCGAATCGTACTAGCAGCTATTTTGTAGGTTTGTGGAGCGCCGGGATAATGAAAGTGATGTTTCAATCTTGACCTTTACTATGATTTCACAGTTGTCGCTTCTACTGGAGTGGTTTACGATTCGGGTGAGCAAGGTAGTTTTCACGAACCAATGATTCGAGTTTCTTATGGTATTTCCAGCATTAAAATTCACACAAGAAGTAGGTTGATCCCATCGGAGTAGCCATCTCGCTAACAGTTTTATAGGTTGACCTGGTCTGGGTAAGCAGACTCCCACTTCAAAAAAAACGACATAATTAACTCGTGGCAGAGACAGCGCTGGTCGTTGATGACCGTTCTGTATCTCGGTGTAAGAAGTTAACGTTATAAGTGTGATTGGCAAGTCTTGCTGATTTAAAATCCTAGTTGCGCTATATCATGATAGTATATGCTGTGTATGTATGGAAGACCAAACAATTGGTGTTGTGCTAATCAGCCATCTCTCATGATCAGCATCAGTATTCTGAGTATGTCTCCCCATATGTTGTGTCTGTTTCTTCTGATCGGCAGCATGTAGTATATGTTCCGACAACAGATACAGTGAGTATTCTACACCAATGCATGATATTTCTGCCTAATTAACTGTACTCCTATGTAGGGGTGAGTGATGTTGTTGACCCGCTCCCTAGTTGAATTTGATGATTGTAATAGTTGTGAGTGTCTTTGGAGAGTGCGGTCCTCCGAGGCCGACCACTGATTGGATTATTCAGGTTATATTATGTACTTCGCGCTATGCTGGATCGTTGTAATCGTACCTGCAATGCTTGGTGGTGAGCTCTACCTTTGATAATATTGACTTGATTGAAACATCACGCAAGTCATCATGATCGCGCGGCTATATGCCATGTATCAGGGGTCAAGAAAGATGTTGATATTTCTTGTTATCATCTTCCTGATTGTCAACGTCTCTGGCGCGGTTATAATCGGCATGATGTTGAGGCATATTTCAGTAGGTAAGCTTTAGTTTATGAATGAAAGACTTGAATGCATTGGGATAATTGACTACCACCAGAGGAGGCCATTCTATCTGGCATGTACCAGTGCACTATTATGCTCGAGGGAGATGGCGCACTTCTGTGTACTATGTATTTGATGCTCATCACTATATGGGAGATCCTCGTACTGTGTCTTGCAGGTTGGGTTAGTGTAAGACACTTCCGTGAACTGCGACGACATTCAGCAGGAGGGATGATCGGAGATTGTTTCACAGTCTTAATGAAATCTCACATTGTTTACTTTGCGAGGTGAGTTTATGATCACAATGCGAATGAAATTCTCTTTTCCCGCTGAAGTTTCGCTTGCACTAGCTTTGTTGCTGTTTCTGGCCCCTCGTTCGGTTATTTGTCTCCAATGGTCTCAACAGTATGTTGATCTCTCATTAATCTCTACATGCAAGCACGGTTCATTATTTTCACAGGCTTTATATTCTCTGGAAAATCCAATCTATCTTGGAGTTCTTCAAATATTTGTGCTTATGCAATTATCCGTGCTGGGACCACGCCTGATCCTTGATGTTCGAGAATATCATGCTAAACTCGTGGACAACAGCGATGCAACAAGTGGCATGACTTCAATTGTCTTCCAGGAGCGCGTGCATCTGACAACCAGCAGTAGTGTGTAGCAAGGGAAGACATCGGGTACTCTACGGAGGGCAACAGAATATGACTTTGTACGTTTCATTATGGTGCCTACATATGTTATCTGGGTGTTTTGACGTGGCATATCAGTTGTTCGAACTTTGCGGGACAACGGCAATGCGCTGAGTTACGATCTACCTGGTCAAGCTTATGTGCCTGACTCCGTCACGAAGGTCTGCGAACATCCTTCTCGAATCTTCACATGACTACGCTGGTCAGGTCTTTGCAATCTTTAAACAAATATCTCTTTCCCCGCATATGCTCTGCATTTGAGCTTCCTGTGTCGGCCAAGCGAAGGAACTGTCCCTGGTGGAGTTTCTCCATATCTCGAATGATTACATGTGGATCTAATATATGTGCGTGAGTTCTGCAACAGCATCAAATGATACGGCTCGCAGCTGTCTCGGATAATTTGACCGATTACAGTACATATGCAAATACACGCGCTCGTCGTATGTCCAGTACCTTTTGTAAATCCATGATTTTCAGGTCGTTTCCCCCGCGCAGACGAAGGTTTCAAGCCATTGACCCAGAGATTATATCAAACTCATCATGAGCACGAACTGGTGTAGATGTTTGATAGCCACTGTGATCATTATGAGCGGAAAATACAAAGAGGAAGCGCACTTTTCACTTGAGCATGATTGTCAATGGATTATAATGTAGGTTTCCACAAGTACCAATTGCAAATTTTGAGATATCAGTGTAAGGCTGGTTCGACTAGACAGTAGTTGTCACCCCGATTGACAGTATCGTCTATGTCTGATATGCTCAGTTAAATAGGGGACCACATAGGGAGATGACAACGTGGGCGTGGACAGAAGCTTTCACAGATAGAAGAGTTACCTTGCGAAAACGCTGTACTTCAATCAGATGATAGTGTATAGAAATGTAAATTAATAGTCGACAAGGACAAGCTACAGATACAGGCCTTCGGGAGTGCCTTCGTTCTTCCTGTACAAAACCTACAACGACTCAGCAACATCACCCGTAGTTCAAACATCCAACTTACCTTTTCCCTCGCAGCAGTGAAGTCTGCTTTCGTCACCCGCATCCGACGTTCTCGCAAAGCTAACATACCAGCCTCTGTGCAAACAGCCTTGATATCAGCACCAGAAAGATCATCCTTGGCCATGATGAACTCCTCCAGATCAACATCTTCGTTCAGGCTCATCCGTGACGTATGTAATCTGTAATGGATTATTCAGTCGATGTAAGATCGGTAAGGGAAGAGAAGAGAAGAGGCCTACCGGAAGATATGCCGCTTGGTCTTCACATCAGGCAGTGGGAATTCGATCTTTCGGTCTATACGACCTGGTCGGATAAGTGCGGGATCTAGCGTCTCAATCTTATTCGTGGCCATGATAACCTTGACGTCACCACGAGTGTCAAAGCCATCAAGCTGGTTGAGTAGTTCCAACATTGTTCTTTGAATTTCACGTTCGCCACCTGATGTTGAATCATACCTCCAAAGATAGCAGCGTCAATATTCGTACGTGAAAAGTAAAACGCTTCGTTTACCGTTTGGTACCTATAGCATCAATTTCGTCGATAAAGACGATACTTGGGGCATGTTCTTCGGCTACACGGAAGAGTTCGCGAACAAGCTTGGGACCGTCACCAAGATACTTCTGAATAAGCTCGGAACCGACCACGCGCAAGAATGTTGCGGACGTTTGATTTGCGACTGCCTTGGCAAGGAGGGTCTTTCCTGTTCCGGGGACCCCGTAAAGGATGACACCCTTCGGCGGCTTGATTCCCATCTCCTCATATAGCTCCGGATGTGTTAGCGGGAGTTCGACAGATTCCTGGGTTAAGGAAAAGAAAGGTCACAAGGTAGCTCCGACAATGAAGGAGGAACCCTACCTTGATTTCTTGGATCTGGTTCTCGAGACCACCAATATCAGCGTAGCTTTCTGTGGGAGCCTTGTCTAATTTCATGACACTGACTAGAGGATCGGTATCGTCCTCCAGCACGCCGACTACCGCCTGGTTCTTGTGGTTTAGTAGGACTGAGCACCCAGGCTCAATCCTATCCTTGTCGACGAAGCTCATGATCGAAACGTATGACTCCGGGCCACTTGCAGTACTGATGATAGCATGGTCATCATCAACGATCTCCTCTAGCGTGCCCACCATCATCGGCGTCCCTCTAATATCGTCCACTTTAGACCTTTCATCCTGATTCTTCTCCTCACGAGATGACTCGGGCTTCATGCGTTCTTGGTTGTGAATGAATTCCTCTTCCAGGAGCAGGTAGTCTTTAATGCGGTCCATCTTGAGTAGACGAAGCCTACACCGTGTAGCAGGGAAGACAGGGGGTAGCTTTGAGGCAGTGGCTGGTCCTCGTCTTTTCTTCTTGCCAACACGAGTCGGCAGAGGCGGTTCCCATTTCTTCTTTGGCGGCTCGGCTTTTTTGTCCTTATTATCCTTATTATCCTGTCCCTGAGGTTGACTAGGCGGCATGCCAGATGGTGCGTTTCCCTGTAAGATAGTCAGATCAAGATGAAGGACTGTAGCTGGCTACAAACCATGTTTGCTGAAGTTCAATGGTGCTGCAAGGTGTACGTTAGAAGGACTACTCGACGCGTCAGTCCATCTAAAACGGGCGCGGAAAAATAATTCCATATATGGATGTTGTGCCAACGCGCAAGTGACGCTGCAGTACTGTCACTGCTGCTCACAATGCCCAGTGCCCATACTTTTAGTTGCAACATAAACTAACCATGAGCCATCCTCCCTTGAATTCGCGATTCATAGAAGCAGGTGAGTTTTATGTTTGCATGACGTTTGTAGTCATTTGAACAACAAGTCATACAGACGACGATGACGATGACGACCTAGACGAGCAAGACATCCCCGGGTTCTCAGCACCATCACCAGCCGTAGATAAGGGAAAATCAAGGGAAACAGAACAGCTAGCAAAGCCCTCTGCAGCTCCTACTTCAAATCAGAACGTGTCTGGCAACATTGGTTCCAATAGCCTGTCTAGCAGTTCCAACAAACAAACTGTCGGTGGCATTCGAGTCGAGACTCGGTAAGTCTCGCATATCATATTTGTATCGAATCCTGTGTAAACATTCTTTAGGTATTCTGGAGCGGACACTCTCGATGAACCTGTCACCACCACAATCGTCAGTGCGACTACCCTTACTCCGTCGTACGAGCTGACCCCAGGCCTAGGCACGCGACCTGCTTTCGGTATACTCGAAGTTGGTCCATGTGCTCTACCCTCGTAAATCTGGTGGACGCGAAGTCCTCAGGTTTGTGGCGCCTGGCACTCCAGTCGAGCTGGTTTGTTGATATCGTCTTTGCAGAGACTGGGATCTTTGGGGCCCGTTATTACTTTGTCTATGCCTAGGCATCATGTTGAGCGTGAATGTACGTCTTTTATTTATTGTGCGTACAAGGAGCTATATACTGTCCACACCCAGGCACCATCGAACCAATCGTTAGGGGTATTCACCTCAGTGATCGTGATTGTGTCCGTTGGCTCCCTTGTTGTGACCGTCCAGGCTAAGGTGGGACATTCATCACCGCTTATGCAATAATGCTAATTTTGCCTTCCAAATGGTCCTAGCTTCTTGGTGGCAGAGTGTAACCAAACTTCCTTATCTCATTTCCGTCTATGGTCCTTACGCTCCAATAATTAGGTCTTTCTTTCAAGGGCTCTGTGCACTTGGCTACTGTATAGCGCCATTAGATATTGCTGCACTTATCTCATGCTTCGTGCGTGTCATCTGGGTGCGTGCACCCGTGGCCGTGGCTGCCTGGGCTTGGTGCATATGGGGTATGCTCGACCCACCTTAATTCATATAATCACTGACTCTGAATTCTATCCCCAGCATCCGTGAACTTCTTGGACGGTACGAAAATTGAACCACAGCGCATCTTACTCGCTGTATACCCACTCCTGTGAGTTATGTCTGAAGTCTATCGAGCTACGAGAATAATGGTATTTTCCTGTTGTAGACTCTTTTACTTTGTCCTGGCGTGGATGATACTTATCCAATGATCACTTTTTGTTTCAAAGAGCTACTTCTGTGGTAGCATGCTTGCACATTTCTTAGCTCAGTGACATGTTACTTGCTACGTAGCATGCTCCCCAATGTAACAGAAGCAAATACACACCAACTTTGCAAGGGACAATGACATGGTGTAGACACTCTTCCAAAATTGACTCATCCGACGCACATACCAGAAAAGGAGAAAATGCCACTCGAGACTCGCAAGACATGCAAGGCTACCTGTTCCGTCTCACAAACGACAAGACCGAGATCACAATTAGACCCTGCAGTGGGCCACTGCATGTTTGACGAATTGTTATTATCTGATCGAAATCATGATTAAATAAGATTATGGCGTAATGAGCACAAATTTGTCATAATTTTGGGCCTCCTAAAGTATGTCTTCTAAAACCATGACAATGGGGTTCTTGTCGCTTCCTGCAGAACTGATATGTCACATTTTACTTTTCCTTACTCCAAGGGACCTTTGTCGTCGTGCAATAGCAGTCTGTTATTTCCCCATGGTCGCAAGGTTCTAGGCTCACTTATGTTGATACCAGACCTGCAAAACCTTCAGGGATGCGGCTCAGAATTCTGTACAAATTCAACACAAGCTCGAGCTTTTCGCTCAGGGCTTTACCGAGACTATTACCCCTGGCCAGGACTCCATCGACTTTTTCAAAAAGGACAGTTGTTTGAAGAAATCGGCACTCATGTCGCGGTCTGATTTCCACGTGAACACTGTTTTCCAAGAAGCAGTGCCTGCTGTGCCTGCTGCTACGAAAGAGACACAATCCTTAAAGTGCGGGCTCTGGTGGATGTCCAGAGATAACGATCTCATAATTCAGGAGTGCAAGCCAAATACCACTCAGACATGGTCCAACCACATCCTGTCCCCCATGCCGCAGCACAAGTTGGTGACAGTCATTGTCGACCCTCTGCAGGATCTTTTGGTCACAATCTTCTCATTTAACTCC